TCTGCTTCTTCCATGTCAGTGAGAATGCTGGTTCCCAGGGCCCCTCCTCATCTGATGAGTCTCCTGATGAGTCTCCTGACCTTGGAATACACACCAAGAGTTATAGCCTCTTTCATTCCCAACAGACTTCTCAGATATAAGCCAATAGCACTTGCTTCTGGGGAATTCTTCATGGGAGAGAGGGAGGCATTGGCTTTTGGGTGGAAATAAATAGGGAGAGGTGAAGGTCACCAAAACCATGGACTTTTTACCTCTCACAGTATCTGTTTCTCCTTCTCTGTGATTTTTGTGGAAGTATAGCAGGAGGAGCTGTGAATAATAATTATTATTATTATAATTAATATTATTATTAAAATATCCACTACTTTGCACCATCAAAAATTCACATAGCTTAATAGATACAAGAGAAAATAAAGGAGAAAGAAACTTAAGGCGTGATAACCCATATGCACGTCACTTTTCCAAGCCCTCCTCCTTCTCCTGCATTTGCATGTGACAGAAGAGCATATTTTCAATGCAGTGGATACTGCACTCTATTTATTAGCATGCACCCAACAAATGCATTCTTCATAAATGGTGTGACAGCACTCCCTGATATACAGAAGGAGCTCTAATATAGATCAGCCCCAGGAAATATTCCTTTTGGTAAACCTGGAGTTTTAGGGAAATTGGTCCTAATCAAAACTAGTTATAAACCCAAAATAGTTTGGTAGACTTCCCCATCCAACTCCACCTTATATGGCTTGATCTTCTGTTTGTTCTCCCTCCTCTATTCCAAAGTGACCTCCAAGCCCTTTTTTCCACAGTTTCTTTGGGACTAATAAATGAAAAAGAAAGGTAGAACTGCATGGCAGCTGCATATGGATGGCAGCTCATACCTGATGACTCTCCCAGTGATTTAAGGCAGATGCTATATTGTCTTCTATAGCACAATATAGAACATTAAGGCAGTCTAAAGACATGAGGTGGAGCAGAATTCCCACCTTTGACACCAGCCCTTCTGCAAAAGGCTAAATCCACTATGGTGCTTGGCCTTCCAGGTCCATAAAGCCAGGATTTGTAAGGACTGCACTAACTTCTTTGCAATAACACATAGTGCAGCTATGTGTTGTAGGGCTTTTTTGCTCTAGTGAAAGCACATGCAGCTCCAATTTGAATCAGGACCATGCTGCTCTAGCAGTGGGGTTGAAATCTCTCCCCCCCCCCCAAAAAAAAAATCCACAAAGACCCTTGAAAGAGGTTTTAAAAAATCAATTGACTCCAATGGAGACTTTACTTTTAACTTCCCTGTGGAAAGTGGAATTTCAGAGCAAAACTGGAGACATGGAGGATTTAACCCCTTCCTACCTTTATTGGAGTCACATGCCCCAAACTACATTGGGGCTATGTGCACTTACACTGATGTAAAAAAAACAACAACCCAGCAACAACAAAATTTTCCATAGATACCTTCTCTATGCATGTTAACAAGAACATTTAGTTTGGTCCTCAACCAATTTTAAATCCTGGCTTAAAGCTGCCTTCCAATCCTGATTTCTTTGGAAGCACTCAACCATAGTTCCCAGTTCAGACGCCATGGGAAAGTATGTTAGGTGTTGGATGCCGGGTTTTGCAACTTATTCCAAGGAGGAGCAAAGGGACAGGAAAAGGGGCATATGCAAATGGACACTGCTTATATATCCTAGTTATATTATTAATTTATGTTTTATTAATTATATTAATTATAGTATATTAAAACTACTACTACTACTACTGATATTATTAACTTAAGTTGTGTGCTTGCAGCATGTAGATCTCTCTCCTCTTCTCTCTTTCTTTCTTTTTAGATTAGTGTTCACATTTTACATTTTATCAGGAGACCCTCAGCTGGAAATACGGACAACAGCATATTTTCCCATGGTGCTTCTGTGGTTGCTCAAAAGCTAGCACAATATTATAATCTGTCACATACTCAGGATCAGGCCATCACTCAAATAAGTTTTTTTTGAAGCAGCTGTTTATTATTTCCTTATCTTTGTTGCAGTATGTAAGTGGTTAATACATATCCGAAGGCTTGAATATGATGTGGGTGACTGATCTTTCAAAGGAAGCTTCCTTTTATGAGAAAACAGCAGGTAATCTCATGTGTATTATGGAAAATGGAAAAAGCAAATGTTAAAGGTTTCCCAGGTTAGCTTCACCTTTTGGAATGGCTGCTGTGCAGCACCTTGACTTTGTTTGTTAGAGATTTTTTCTTCGCTTCATAAGAAAGAGATGTGTGTGTGACTCCCTTTGGCAGTTTCCTCTGCTGGCAGTCTGATTCTCAACTCCTTGTCTCACAGGAGTGGAAAGAGCCTGGGGCATGATGTTTGCAGAAACATAATCTAAGGTTGCAATCATCGCAAATAGCTTATTTGGAAATTAGTTGCATTGGCATAAATGGCATTTTTCCCAAGAAAATGTGTTTGGGATTGATGGTGAGTGGGTCATTCTATAAATTATTTTGTGCATCAAAAATGTCAGAAACCTGAAATCTCAGGCAAGTTTTCTAAAAAGAAAAAAGGGTTCCTGAAAAAGTGAAATAAACAAACCCTTTCTAATGCATGTGGAACAATTTAAGCATTTTAAAAAGTACATTAGGCTTGGTTTTTACATATGTTACTTGTATCTATTAAGGTGTGCTTTTAAAGTTGAAAAAGTCTGTTTATTACAGGTTACCCAGTTTGTATGCCAAGGAATTCTAAAACGCAGCACCATCTCCATTTTCCATCCAGCATTGCCAAATAGCTTGCATTTGTGGGGAACTAACAAAATAATGCTATCAGCCATACTCCACATTAAGGAGCCATGTCTCTTGATCCCCAATTACACACCAGTGTAATCAAAGAAGAAATATTTGTGAAACTAAGGATCAAACAGCCAGAAACCCCTCCCATCTTTCTCATGCATTTGCAACCATTGTTTTCATGACCTGCTGCTGCCTTTCTTTCTTTGTTTCTTTCTCCCGTATATACAGATGAACATACATAAGCGCAACATGCTGCGTTAAGGGCTTTCCATCCTTACTTAGGCCAATGCCAGAAGAAGGGGAGAAGAGGAATGAGCTGCACCTTTATTCAGGTGTTATTCAGGTGACATCGATACAGGATGATATGATACGATAGCCTTTGCAGCTGTTAGCTCCAGTTGAGGTTTTTCGTGTGCAATTGCCCTATTCCACACATGGACTAGCCAGAACATTAGTCAACATGACTCCAGTTGACACACAGAGGAAAGGAAGCACAGAATTCTCCAAGTGCTCCTTGTCCAAAAGTCTCAACTACAGCAACATATTTTTGTTTTGCAAGAAGATGGAACATTTGTGAGCTGTGTGCAGAAGAAAAGAAGAGTGGATCTTCTTTCTTCAGTGAATAATGATGCAGAAATCTCAGACATAGAGCTCATGGTATCTATGACAAAATGAAAGCTGATATGAACACCTGTGACCAGATGGTCTCCACATACACTACCAATATGGTCAATAGTGTGTGTGTGTTTCAAACAGAATAGAAGTTACCGGTTTAAATGCCTTTATGATTTGGAAGCGGAACAACTCATGATGGTATGCCCAGAAGACATCTCTTGGTAGTAAACCTGTCCAGGTGAAACTATATTATCTTACTGGCAAAGGGAAGGTCTTGAAAGTGGCACATGCTTCTGTTTTGTTCTTGCAAATGCACTCATGCAGGCTTAATGACTTCCTCCAGTCATTTTATTATCATGGCTTTCTTGATGTAAATTTCACTTTTGGCAATGATTGGTACAATCCATTTTTCTATTCTCATGCTTGATTCATGTCCTGAGGTCTGGTGAAAATGAGCTTGTCCTGTTATGTTCCTAGATTTTATTGCATGTGTTGTTTATTTTTGAACTGTATGCCAAAGCCACTGTGTAAGTGCCAATGGCAGATATACATGTCCTAAATAAACATAAATTATATGGACTCAGGGTATCCACATTGTTGGATGGTGCCATCCAGATTATTAGGATGCTGAAAACCAAAGCAGACCATAAGGAGCTATGAAAGGATATCTATAGATCTGGTGAATGAGCACGTAGCATTCAGTGTAAATAATTGTCTAGTGACATATACCGGGGCAGTTTAGCAAAGCTAGAAATATTAAACTCCTGGAATTTAAGATGACTATCCAAGAATGATATGCTGGACACTAGGACACAGTAATTTAGAGAGTTATTTTGTTCCTCAGTCATGCCTCAAATACACATTTATTCAGTTCATGTGGGAATAATTGAACTTATCCATTGTTATGTTTCATTTACTGTTTCCCTTTGTCCATCTTAAAATTACTTAACATTTTGGTCAGGAGTGTAGTAGTAGACTTCCAAGATTAAATTATAATTTTGAGGAATTCTTTTTTCACCCACAGCAATTATATGGAGAGGCCTTAAAATTAAAAAAAATGTTAAAAAGCACCATGACTCCACATACTTCTTCCCCTGTCCAGTTGACAATTTTTCCCTCCCTCCAGGGAGATAATGACACTGATTCTAATTTTTCATCAAATTTTAAAAATGCCCACAGTATTTGTATGCTCTTTTAATACTAGGCAAACCAATCCCAGAACCTTCTGGCCTTAGCATAACATCTGTGTTGGGATTCTCGTTGTCAGGAGTGTGCTTTGCAGCATACAGATAGTAAATAGGAAAGAAACTCAGTTCTGTGATATCAGTTTGTTTAACAGAATTGTCAAAACTATTTTAACAGGATGACTTCTCCCCGCAACCCATATACATACACAACGCCTGTGGCCACACGGACACACACACACACCAAACTACAAAGCAGCCAGCCAAGTATTATTACCAGTTTGTCAAGGTCAAAACCGGATTGTTAATTCATCAGATGTCTCAACTAGTGAAGCTGCTTGAAAAGCAAACAGCTCTCTGAAGATGCCTCTTCCATTAAGTCAAATGCCACAGGACGACAGAATGATTAGGAACAAAGAGAATTTTTTACTCACTTTCGGCAATTGTACAGTCATGGGAATTGTACCCTTCAAAGCACTGGCATCCCCACATAGTGCATTGTCCATGACCATTACAGAGACTGGGGCACTTGAGTGCTCTGATGATTTCTTTATGCATAGCAGGTAGCTCAGTTTCTGAATGAAACCACTCCGTGATGTTTTCTGCTAGCAGTCTTTTTTCGCAGTCATTTTCCAGAAATGCAGTAATTGATTCTCCCCACGCAAGGTCATCTTTGATTTGTACATCTGAAAGGCACATTTCAATGGCCACATCCAGTTGGGTGCCCAGAAGTTCCTTGCAGGCTGATCCAATGGCAGAGTGTTTGAGAACCTTCTGACAGTGCGCTAAAGCTTCAGCTGAGGTGAGGCCACTTGGAGTGGGCCATGTGACCTGGATTTTAGGCCTCTTTCCTTCAAAATAGTCTTCTGGGAAAAAATAAGTGAAACTTTCCAAGTTGGTTTGACTCAAGCTTTCAAAAGAAGGAACAGAGATGTAGTCCCAATTATCTTCTTGTGTCTGTTCTCCTGATAGCCCCTCCCACTGATTAAAGAAGTCCTCAAAGCTTTCATTTTTGTTCGTTTTCATGGAGATGTTCTGCCCATTTGGTTTTAAGAGGTCATCAAAATGTTCTTCTGTTTTGGTTGTCTGAAGCAAATGGTCAAAAGTCTGGGTTGCTAATTTTCCATCAGCTTGTAAAGTAGAATCAGTTTCCAAGTCAGAGGCATATTCTGCTGTGACATCTAGATATGGGATTATAGACATGTAATTTCCGTTCTCGTAATAGCAACTCATAGAATGTGGGGAAGAATTCTGAAAAGTAGGGTCAGTTTTGGCAGACTGCACATATAACGCATGTTGTCTGTGGCACAGACAATAAGGTTCCTTCTTCTTCCATTCGGATAAAGGTGGAGTTTTGTCAAATAAACTCATCCCTGGGGCTATTCTGATTGAATAAAAAAGAAACAAGCCAGTTAAGCTCAGTGGTCTGATGATATTGATCCACTTTTATTAGTTATATCTACCACAGCTGTACAGTAAAGCACTTAATGATATGCTGGAATGTAAGCAACATGAGTGCAAAAATCAAGGACAGTTTAGCTTACCAATTTTGGGGGGAAATAGCATCAATGTACAAGCTGTGATAGGAAAAGAGAAAACTAAAAATTTCACTGAGTTTTCCATTGCAGCAGCTTGTGTCTTTGGCTACTTTCTTCAGGACCTGTGATGGAAAGAAAATTTCTAGGCCATGGCCACTTCGTACAGCTTACATTTCAAGGAGACTCTGTCAGTAGAAATGCCTGAATTATCAAGCATCTCACCGATGCAGAACATGTCCAAGACTTGGCCTCCCTACCACTTCTTTCTCATCTTCACACTGTGCAGTCTTTCCATTGGTTGCAGCACGACTAGACTAGAGTATGCAAGCAGTTGAATTTTAATTTGAAAGGCTTTCAGGCTGTAACAAAAAGCAGACATAATATTCTGTGATATAATCAAACCTAACCACCCCTGCTTTAAAAAAGTGAAGTCTGCTTTCAATGCCTTTTTATTCTGACTGGATGCACACATGGTGAGAATCCAGTGAACACTTAGCAGAAATGTGTACTTGACCCTGAGAAGAACTGAACAGTTTACCAAACATTTGCACCTAATAATAATAAATTGGAAGCATTTTAGAATCCTCTTCACCACTTAGAAAGATGTTATCACAGATGAGGTTACTGGCTGCTGAAGTAGTTACACATGTGCCATCATAAACTTTGCTTGCTAACGAATGTTGGCATTTATCTTTAGAATGAAGAACTGTGCAGGATGAAGTCAATTTTACACAGCTGGAAGACCACAGAAAAAAAGGAGGCACAGATCACCTGGTTTGCATGCAAAAGGTTCCAGGTTCAATCCCCAGCATCTCTGGGAAGTATCAGAAATGCTCCTGGTAAAAGCTTTGGAGAGCCAATGCAAGTATTACTCAGTATTAACAGCACTGGGCAAATGGAGCAAGGACACTGCATAAGGCAGAATCATGTGATGCTGGGACCTTTTTAGAAAAAAGATGACAGATCAGCTATTACATGAAGAAGGGAGATGTTTGGGGTAATGAACCCAGCTTGTTTTTTTGAAGGACTCAGGCTTTTTTTGTCATAGAACGCACCAGAATGGTGTTCCGACACCGTTTTTCCCAGTAGATTTTACTAAGTGATTCTGAATCGCCTGTCGGGCATAGCAGATCAGCAGCAAACATCATTAACAATAGTGCCTGTGGGCTGCTTTTGTAAGTCTGCTGTCTGCCATCTGATAGTGAGATAGTGAGGGCACTGCTCGGCTTGGGGCTGCTCTGCTGCTCGGCTTGGGATTGGTGCGAGCGGTCGTGCAGCACGCTGAGTGCTTACTGCTGGCGGCGACATGAGTTCCGGCACCTTTTTTTTTTTTTTTTTACAAAAAAGCACTGGAAGGACTCAAGAATCCTTTTTAAGAGGCTGGCCAGTGGGCTAATGGTTTTTAAAAAGGGGCTTTTGTGCAACAGCAGTTGTTGGATTAGGGTGGAGGAATGGTGTACATAATCCACACATACACAATCCACTAACCCAGGACTTTGTTCATGGAAGCACCCTGCCTTATGGGAATGGACCCTCCATGGGGAGGGAAAAGCAGGTTGCTTACCTGTAACACTCAATGTTCTTTGAGTGGCCATCTGTGCGGTCACACACATGGGTGCTGCACCTGTGCAGTGCCTTTGGCCGGAAGATTGATAGCTAACAGTTTTGGCAGGAAGCTCCGCTCCCCCTCCCCCCTATAGCTTATATAGAACGGAGCATCTGCCATTTTGTTCAGTCTTTGAAGACCAAACGTTCACCCCCATGTGGAAAAAATGAGTCTCTACTACAGATGATATCAGTACCATGAAAGAAAAAATGGTACTGTACCGATGAAAATATTTCCACTCACCGACACCAAGCGGGGCCGGCGGGTGGGTTGTGTGACTGCACAGATGGCCGCTCGAAGAACATCAGTTACAGGTAAGCAATCTGCTTTTCTTCGTCATGGCCTCTGTGCATCACACATATGGGTAGATTAGCAAGCTTACCCTTATCAGAGGAGGGAAGGTGTCCTTGGTGAAGAATAGACAAGAGAACGGCTCTGCCGAAGGAGCAGTCTTGTCTGGCACAAACATCTAGCTGATAATGCTTAGCGAATGTACATGGAGTAGCCCAAGTGGCAGCTCTACAGACATCATCAATTGGAACTCCCGACGCGAAGGCAGAAGACGTAGCAACAGCTCTAGTAGAATGACCCCTTGGAATTGTAGGCAAGTCAATCCTAGCCAGCTGATAGGAGAGAGTAATTGTGTGGACTATCCACTTGGAGAGTCTTTGAGGGGTAACTGGAAAGCCCTGATTTTGCTCAGAGTATTTGACAAAGAGCTTGTTGGTACGTCGAATCGACTCAGTCCTTGATCTGTAAAAGGCCAGGCAGTGCTGTACATCAAGTGTGTGTAAGGATCTCTCGAGCGGATTCGTTGGAGACAGAAAGAAGGTGGGTAAGACAATGTCCTGTCCCATGTGAAAGGAGGTGGCCACTTTGGGAAGAAAGGATGGATCCATTCGCAAAACAACTTTCTCCCTGTGGAAATTTAAATATGGAGAATCTACCCACAGGACACAGAGCTCACTAGCTCTTCGAGCTGACATTACTGCTACCAGGAATGCTGTTTTCCAAGAAACTAGATGTAGATCGATTGTCGTCAAGGGTTCCAAAAGAGCTCTTGTAAGCGCTTGCAAGACCACTGAAAGACTCAGCGTAGGCATCACTGGCCTAACCATTGGATTAAGGTTATGAAGTCCCTTAAGAATCTCTTTATGAGTGGTTGTGAGAAAATAGAGGAACCACGAATTGCGTCAAGGTAATAGGAGACTGCTGCTGCGTACACTTTTATAGAAGACGGCTTCAGTCCAGAACGGTGGAGTTCTAAGAGGATCTGAAGTATTTGGTGTATTGATGCAGAGTGTGGAAGAAACGAATGAGACTTGGCAAAGGTAGAGAATTGTTGCCACTTAGCCGCATATGATTTCCGTGTTGACGGCTTCAACACAGAATCAAGAATGTGCTGAATGTCTGGATGAAAAATTGCCAGATCTGACGGGACGTTTGTTGGATCCGATGAAGTGGGAAAGACAAATGGATTCGAGGTATAGGGTAACGTGTTGGATCCAGGGACAGGGTCTGCATCACGTGCTGATATTGTCAGTACCGAGTCAGCGTCAAATGTTATCAGATTCGCCAGGCTGTTAATTTCAGCGATGTTAAATCTGGGTGGCGAATTGTGCCTTCCTGCTGGGTTATGAGATATGGAATTAGTGGAAGATGAAGATATTCCTCTTGAGAGATGTAAGGAAGCATCGAAAACCAGGCTTGGCATGGCCACCATAGGGTCACCAGCAGTCCTGTGGTTCCGTTGTGGATTATCTTCGCTATCACTCTCATAATGAGAGGGATTGGAGGGAAAGTGTAACATTTCAGATTGTTCCAAGGGATCATAAAAGTGTCCCCTAATGATCCCTGTCCGATTCCCGCTCTCGAGCAAAAAGTGTCGCATACCCTGTTCTGTCGGGTAGTGAATAAGTCTATGTCTGGAAAGCCCCATTGATGGAAGAGGTGGTCGCGTATCTGGGGGTCCAGTTCCCATTCGTGAGATGTGGACATGTGTCTGCTCAGAAGATTGGCTTCCACATTGTCTGTACCGGTGAGGTGTACTGCTACCGGAGTAAAGTCTCTCTGGACGCACCATTCCCAGATTTGCATCGACAGTTTGGCTAGAGTTGGTGACCTCGTCCCACCTTGCTTATTCAGATAAAAAACTGTAGCAATGTTGTCCCAGGTTATCTGAACAACTCGATGTCGAAGAACATCTTTGAATGAACGTAGAGCCTTGAATATAGCCAGGAGTTCCAAGAAGTTGATATGATTCCTGGATTCTCAACGATTCCATACGCCTTGAATGTGTAGGTCGAAACATACTGCTCCCCATTCCTGTAGGCATGCATCGGTACCCATGGACACCAAAGGACATCGGGGTTGAAATGGAACCCCCACGGTAAGGTTGGCCAGAAGGGAGTGAAGGACAGAGGATGGAATCTGAATCAACTTTGTCAGTCGGTCTCTTTGTGGCTGAAACATTTCGTTGAACAGGAGCTGAAGAGGACGAAGGCGAAGCCTGGCATGTGGGACCACGGCAACTGATGCAGCCATATAACCCAAAAGTCTCTGGATGGATCAGGCAGGGACTATCATATCTCATCACATTCGATGGATGTGTCGAGCAAGAGTCTGTTGTCTGTCCCGAGGGAGAAAGTCTTTTGCCATCGTAGAATCCAGACGGGCTCCAATGAAAGTAATCATCTGTACCGGAAGAAGAAAAGATTTCTCGGTATTAATACAGAGTCCAAGGTGCTGTAGCAGGGTACAGGTTGTATGGATCGAAGCAAGAAGTCCCTTTCTGGTCTGGGAAACTAGCAACCAGTCATCGAGATAAGGGTAAATCTGAACACCCTGTAGCCGTAGAAAGGCACATACAGGGGCCATACACTTAGCAAAGACTCTCAGAGCAGTAGCCAGTCTGAAAGGCAACACCATGAACTCAAAGAGTTGGGATGCAACAGCAAAACGAAGGAAACGCCTATGACAAGGATGAATGGCAATGTGGAAATAGGCGTCCTTCAGGTCTAATGAAGCGAACCAATCCTCTTTCCTCAGCAATGGTAGGATATTTTGAAGGGTTGTCATCCTGAATTTCTTTGTTGTGATAAACCGATTAAGATTCTGTAAGTCCAAAATTGGACGAAGACCACCGTCCCGTTTCGGGACTGTAAAATATCTCAAGTAGAATCCGTGAAGTCCTTCCGTTTGAGCCAATTGACGAACCGCCCCTTTACGAAGGAGTTGTTG